CCTGAGCTCTGGAAAATTAAGTTAGGGTCTTCTCTTGCTCTAGCTTTTTTCCCCTGCTCCCACTATCATGGAAGCTACACCTATGGAGCACCTATGCAAATGAAGCGTGACTTACCATCTTGACGTACTTCACATAATTTATTCAAGCTGTTTTTGTGCAAGGGGTTTTTGCGCAAAAACAAGCAGTGTGGACGGGGAGGAGGGGGTTGTGCAAAACGGGGTGTTTGTGAAAAAAAACTGTCCACATTGCTTGTTTTTGCGCAAAGCTGTCTTGAATAAATTATGCAAATGACATGCAGCAAAAGCTAATCCGTACTTCATTTATATAGGCACTGCTGGCAAAGTATAGACAAAGCCAGCAATATAGACAAAGAGGTTTTACAGTACAAATTATCCCAGTGTCTTCAAAGTAGTCCTTGATAACACGTGTGCTGTGCAGTATTATTGCCCTCAATTGATGAATATAGCAAACAATTCTGCTAGAGACCATCAAGATTCCAGCTCCCATTCTCTTTAGTTGTATGGCTTCAAAGGGCGGGTGGGGCTGAGGAGGAGAGGGTGCTAACAATCCAGTTGATGTTTTGACATTGACATCAGCAAGTTTTACTGTGAATACACATAGGCTGTGTCTAGACTAGCAAGCTTTTCCGCAAAATCATCTGCTTTTGCGGAAAAACTTGCCAGCTGTCTACACTGGCCACTTGAATTTCCGCAAGAACACTGACGATCTCATGTAAGATCTCATGTTCTTGCGGAAATACTGTGCTGCTCCCGTTCGGGCAAAAGCTCTCTTGCGCAAATCAGCTCAGCACTGTTTTCCGCAAAAAAGCCCCGATTGCGAAAATGGCGATTGGGGCTTTTTTGCAGAAAAGTGCGTCTAAATTGGCCACGGACACTTTTCAGCAAAAAGTGCTTTTGCGGAAAAGTGTCCTGCAAATCTAGACGCGCTTTTCCAAAAATGCTTTTAACGGAAAACTTTTCCGTTAAAAGCATTTCCGGAAAATCATGCCAGTGTAGACATAGCCCTCAGGAACAGGCCTGTTGAGTAACAATGTTCCAATGTGCCATTTTTACACAGTCATTTTGTAGAGTACACTTGCACTTTAAGTGCAAATAGCTAATAATGGCTGAGATACTGAGCCATTTAAGTCCTATATGTAAAAGAAACTCAAGATGGGTCTAGGTGTAAAAAATGTTTTGCTTGCAGCCTCATCTTTCAGTGCTGTTTTCAGTTTTGCTTTTGCCTTTAAGGAGCTGTATGAATAGCTATGCTGCTATGAGAATCACTAGACTTTAGGATTGTCCACTTTACTCGAATCTCATTGTAGTTTTACCAAAATGAGGCTGGGCAGATTAGCCTCTTTGTGTGTATTATATTGTTAGCAAAGATCTGTCTGATGCACACAGGGTTTTACCACCTACACAATCTTGCTGGTTCTTCACAACAGTACTACACTCTTCCAAACGTTTCTGAAGTTGTAGCGCAATGTAAGCAATGCAATCACTGCCACAGACAGCAGACTACTAGTGGCAAGGTAAAGATTATAGGAGCTTTACCTGAATGAGCTAGATTTGAAGGAATTTAATCCAGTGCTTGAAATAAAATGTGTACAGGCAGTCCCCGGGTTACGTACAAGATAGGGACTGTAGGTTTGTTCTTAAGTTGAATCTATATGTAAGTCGGAACTGGCGTCCAGATTCAGCCGCTGCTGAAACTGACCGACCTGGGGCAGAGCAGCTAGGGTGCTGCTGGGTTGGTCCAGTGGCGCCCAGAGCGGCGCTACGGGACCAAT